TGCATTGATCGCTCTGAGTGTTGGTTGGGCACTCGTAGGAGTCGTCGGCCCTTTAACGTTTCACTCCATTGACGGGGCAATAGGGGGGAGGCTCGTGCTGTTTGCTCTCGCCTGGTCCCCGATTCTTGGGCATTTTGGGTTGTTTCGTCCGGCCTGTGGTGGCGTTGGGTCGTTCCTTCTCCTTCGGGGGGATCGGGGCTGGCAAGGTAGGCCTCTTTCCCTGCGCTCTGTCAGGTCATCCAGGAGTGGGGTTTCCCGCGTGTTTTGAGTTCCGAAACGGGACTGGGTAGATCTGTGATTCATACTGGACTTGTCCCGTCTGATCCCCCTAGGTCTTTTGCCCCTTCTTTTGGATGACCACTCTGTCTCAGGCACTGCTGCTTTTTGGCGCCTGGTGCCTGGATGGTGTCTCTGGACCTTCGGGATGCGTATTAACACGTGCCAATTCATCCGGGGTTCGTTGACTGGATCGGTTTTGTCATGGGACGACAGGCTTACCGCTTTCGTTGCCTTCCTTCCGGTTTGGATCTGGCACTTCGCATGTTCACATGGTTTACCCCGGGCCGTGGTGGCCCATTTTGCATCTGATAGGGGTTCGAGTTCTGGCTTACTTCGACGATTGCCTGGTGTGGGTTCCCAGCCCATCCTCGTGCCTGCTTGCCAGGGATTTGGTTTTTTCCCAGCTCGCTGGGTTTGGGTTCTTGCTGTACTGGAGGAAGTCCCATTTGGTTCCCTCTCAGATTCAGACTCGGCTGAGACCGCTTCCTTGTCTCTCCCTCCAGCGGCGTTGTTGTGGCTGCGGTCCCGCTTACGACTACTTTTGGAGGGGCACCCGGGTCACACGTTGGTTGTTCGAGCTGCGGTGTGGGAGCCTGATCTTCGCCGTGCTGGTCTACCTGTCGGCTCGGATCTGGCTTTTGAGGCTGTTCTAGTTTCTTCTGGGGCGTCCTTTCTGCCGCCCTCGCAATTGCTAAGTTCGGATCCCGGGAGCCTTGCGCTGGCTGCTCCATCGCCAGCTTCCTCTGAGAGTTTTTCTGGATTCTGTGCCCCTGACGCCTCCCTGAGCCCTCACTCGATATGTTCATAGATGCCTCATCTCTTGGCTGGGGTTTTGTGACCAGTGCTCACCAGGCCAGCCAGGGTTGGTGGGGTACGTCCTTCCGTCGGGCTCACAGCACGAGTTCGCGGTGGTGTGGCATTCACTTCAGAGAGTTCGTGTTGCTCGCAGAGCAACGATCGAGCTCCATTCAGACTGCTCCCCGGTAGTTCACTGTCTGACCCGTGGGGGTTTGATGCTGACCTTGGCTCTTTGGGGCTGGTCGCTTCATGTGACTGATCTGCTGAGTTCTCGGGGTTCGGCTCTCCTGGCAGTTCTCGTCCTGGGGATGTCAAACGTCCTGGGGATGTCAAACGTCCTGGCAGACGGCCTCTCTCGGTTCATTCTCCTATTCGTGGAATGGAGGGTCTATGCTGACTCGTTCAGTTGGGTCTGCTGGACGTATGGGCACCTAGAGGTGGACCTCTTTGCATCGGCGCAGTCAAGGCATCTTCCAGTGTATGTGGCGCCCTTCTTAGACTGCGAAGCCGTCGGGATCAATGCCTTTCGGCTGGACTAGTCGAGGTGAGGTTACCAGTACCTCTTCCCTCCGATTCGGTTATTGCTCCGGGTCATAGCTCTTTTGGAGACACTTACCAAGGAAGAGTAGTCCTGTTGGCTCCTTGGTGGCCGGCCCAGCCCTTTACAGGTGCTTCTTCCTCGATGTCCGAACCCAAAGGTCTTCTCGCGACTCTGCCTCTTTCAGCAGATCGGTCCAGTCCGGTAAGTGCCTGGTTCGATCTTCTCTGCTCTTCGCATCTGGTCGTTTTGACACGGGTTCATCACCACTTGTATGGTGATCAGGTGGCTTAGTTGATGGTGTCCTACCTGCGAGTTTCATCTCAACGGCAGTATGAAATTTCCTGGCGGTCCTTTCGGCACTTTGTCTCTTAATAAGTTGTCTTCGATTTTTGGTCGGGTTGTTTTGTCCTCTCTCTCGTGGTTGTTTCAGGACTCTTATACCAAATGCTGTAGTCTCTTATTGTGTGATGCTGGCAGAGCCGCTGCAGCTTGCATTTGGAGTGGATGTCACTTCTGCTTCATTTCACATGCTTTCTCGGGCATTGTTTCACATCCAGCCTACTCATGCGCCGCCCGAGTCATCCTGGTCATTGGACTGGGTGCTCTCTTTTCTATCTTCTCCTCGGTTTGTGGTGGCCCTCTCGGTTCAGGATTAGTTTTGTATGACTTTTCTTGAAGGCATTAACCTCTGGGGGTTGAGTTGAAGAGCTTCATGCTCTCCTCTGGCGAAGGGGCTTCTGCTCTTTTAGTCCTGGTAGTAGTTTCTTCATTTGCAGCCGTCTTGGGTTGTTGACGCTGGGTTGGTTTGGCCGAGGGTACATCAAGTTTTGTGTCCAGTTGTGGCTCTTCGCAACGGCCTCTGTAGCAGAGGATGCTCTTTGGGTTGACCCGGATTCCCATTTTCCCCATTCCAGGGTTCGGGTCTCCCAGGTTGTCCGCAAGATTATTCGGTCCAGCCAGCCTGCAGTCTATCCCCATACCCACCCAGGCCGTTTGTAAGTTCGCGGCTTTGGCTGTTATTTTAGGTAATATGTCTTGGCTTATCATTCTGGCACGAGGCGTTTGGAGATCGAACAGGGTCTTGGATGCACGGTACCTTGTTAAGGTTCCTGGCCCTTCTCGGGCGTGTATAGCCTTAGGGCGCAGTTTGCGGCCAGGTGTCTCGACTTCGAGTTGAGAAGTTAGTGACTACCGCCTCCCTGGTAAGTCCATTTTCTTCTTATCTTTGCTTAGGTAGCTCCGGGGAGCCGAAGGGGCTCTCCACAGAAAACCAACGTTGAATGTAATGAAACGCCATTTTCTGGTTGAGATCCAGTGGTTCCCCGGCATCCCTCTCTTCCTTCGGTCGGCGATTTTTATGTTTTTGATTCTCAGCCTCTGAACTTTACACCGGAGAGTTGCCGGCGTAAAAGTCTGGGACCCCCCCGCGTTCCCTTCTTGGGGAGGGGGGTGGGGGGACATCACCACTGCGCGGTAGTTTCGGTGACGTCATGTTTGTTTCCTGGTTTTTGATTGGGTGGTTCTGTTTGCTAGTTCGGCTTTAGGTTTGCAATTTTTGACCAGCATTAGTTTTTTGGAATTCCTACCTCTCTGGGTGCCTGGCCTGGTAGATGGCAGACAAAGTCTGCTTCCTATTACACGGGGGTGTCTTTAGGGCATTGCTCCTCGTGCCTCTCATGGGAGGGCCAGGTTCTGGTTCTGGTCTCCGGTAGGCCTAGAACTCCTTCGATTGACTGTTGTCGGGTCTTGCCCAGAAAATTAAGTTTCATTACATTCAACGCTGGTTTGTTGCTCTCAAATCATAGAAAAAGGCAATATTTTTTATAACTCGGCAAATAGCAGATCTAGCCAATCTGTCCATAAAATACAACATCCCCACATAATCTATTTTCCATATGCCAGGATTCTCTTTATTTTCTGCTATACCTAAAACACAATCATGCATAGAGCCCCTTCAAACCTAACCTCCAATGTCACCTGTATTTGTTTCAATTCAAATCAAGAAAGTATAATTTAGACTATTTCTTTTACAAAGTTAGTTCATTTGAACAATTAAGTGGACAAATTAGCTAGCTTTTGTAGGAAATAGTCTCCATATTACGTTCTAGATTTGAAATTTCCTGGAAAGTATAATTCTAGAGAATTTCAAAGTTTCTACACTTTGAATCTAATTCCACACCTTATTCTTTTTCTGCACTAGCCACCACACACACACTAGCTCCACACCATAATCTTATTCTGCAGTAGTCACCACACACACACCACTAAACATATTCTTATTCTAAACTAGTCGACACACACTAATACCACACCATATTATTGTTCTGCACTAATCAACATTCGTGCTTCACTGGTCATCACACAATACCACTCAACTCCTGTGCTCCACCAGTCACCACACACTAACACCCAACTCCTGTGCTCCACCAGTCACTACACACTAACACCCAACTCTTGTGCTCCACCAGTCACCACACACTAACACCCTACTCTTGTGCTCCTCCAGTCACCACACACTAACACCCAACTCTTGTGCTCCACCAGTCACCACACACTAACACCCTACTCTTGTGCTCCTCCAGTCACCACACACTAACACCCAACTCTTGTGCTCCACCAGTCACCACACACTAACACCCTACTCTTGTGCTCCTCCAGTCACCACACACTAACACCCAACTCTTGTGCTCCTCCAGTCACCACACACTAACACCCAACTCTTGTGCTCCTCCAGTCACCACACACTAACACCCTACTCTTGTGCTCCTCCAGTCACCACACACTAACACCCAACTCTTGTGCTCCTCCAGTCACCACACACTAACACCCAACTCTTGTGCTCCTCCAGTCACCACACACTAACACCCTACTCTTGTGCTCCTCCAGTCACCACACACTAACACCCAACTCTTGTGCTCCTCCAGTCACCACACACTAACACCCAACTCTTGTGCTCCACCAGTCACCACACACTAACACCCAACTCTTGTGCTCCACCAGTCACCACACACTAACACCCAACTCTTGTGCTCCTCCAGTCACCACACACTAACACCCAACTCTTGTGCTCCACCAGTCACCACACACTAACACCCAACTCTTGTGCTCCACCAGTCACCACACACTAACACCCAACTCTTGTGCTCCACCAGTCACCACACACTAACACCCAACTCTTGTGCTCCACCAGTCACCACACACTAACACCCAACTCTTGTGCTCCTCCAGTCACCACACACTAACACCCTACTCTTGTGCTCCACCAGTCACCACACACTAACACCCAACTCTTGTGCTCCACCAGTCACCACACACTAACACCCAACTCCTGTGCTCCTCCAGTCTCTACACACTAAAACCCAACTTCTATACTCCATTGCAGTGTGACTCCAGTCCGTTCCTGATGCGGCTACTGGAGCGCTTCTGCTTGCATGAGATTAAAGACTTAAGACTGGTCCACGTGAACAACCTGCTGAAGCACATGATGAGGCACCACAACGACGCCGCCTACGACACGGAGGGGGCGTCGGTCACTACTTACTCTGGCAGCTCCTCCACCTTCCAGGTAACCTCATCCGTCATACATGCCTCTCTCAGCTATCTTGATTGATCTTATACATGTCATGAACCATCTCCTGCTGCCCCCTGAGGTACACTATCCACCCATCTCCTGCCCCCAGAGGTACACTACCCACCCATCTTCTCCTGCCCCCAGAGGTACACTCCCCACCCTTCTTCTGCCCCCCCCTTCCCCGAGGAACACTACCCACCCATCTCCTGCTGCCCCCTGAGATAAACTTCTCTCCCTTCTGCCCCCCCCCGGAGTTAAACTACACATCCATCTCCTGCCCCCAGAGTTACACTACCCAACCATCTCCTGCCACCAGAGTTAAACTACCCTCCGATCTGCTGCCCCCAGAGTTAAACTACCATCCCATCTCCTACTGCCTCCAGAGTTACACTACCCACCCCGTTCTTGCTCCCTTAAAATAGACTATTCACCGCTCTCTGCTGCCCCCTGAGTTACACTATCCACCCTTCTCTTACCACCCCAGAGTTACACTACCCGCCCATCTCCTGCCCCCCCCCCAAGAGATGTGGGGGATTTACTCTATAATATAATAATATTGAAAAATTCGAAGGGCCAAAAAATCATTATGGATCTCATAAAATATATTCTTCAATATAATAAAAATAATTTTAGAGATGAACTGTAATATTTCTATTAAATTTAGAGCTAGTCCCTGACACATCCTTTTTTTTTTGGGGGGGGGGATAAATTTATAATGTTAGTATACACATATTATTAAATTAACAGATTCATAAAATATTAAATCGATGAAATGGGTTAATTTGCTAACTACAATACGAAGACTGAAACAGCTTAGCTGCAAGAGATGAACGTAGATTTCGTCCAGCAGCTACGACACGTTTGATCCCGTCAGAGTTGGCTCTCCGTAGTGACGCATGACTGTACTGGTGGAATTGCGTCTCTCTCTTGAAGTTAACTCCACATTGAAAGGCTAATCATATATAATTTCCACTCTAAACCATATATTCATACATTAAATCATGAAATCTAAATGGAATTGGGAGAAGTTAGGCCACTTACGTGGGTTATGGGGATGTTAGGATGCATAACGACAAGACTCCAACATGAGTATATATAAATGGCTAAAATTAATGAATCAGTGGTACTCAGTCCTGCCAAACGCGGTGTCCGTAAACTGTGGAAGCTGTAGGATCGATTTGAGGTTCGTTTGTAGATGGATGCTACTCTATTCGATCGGTGATAAACCCAGCTCCAGAAGACCTGATGCTAATAATGGCAGCTATCTTCGCCCAAGAGACTTGCTAGACTCGTCGACTCGTGGCGCATGCGCACTAGCCCCCAATGTTATAATTAATTCGTAATAATTTATTCAACGTTTCGAAAGGATGGAGGCGTTGTTGACGTTAAATGACGTCATAATAACGTGCTTTATATAACGGCAAATTGTTTCTCGCTCTGCAAATAATTTAAATTGAATGACGTTAAGTGGGCGAGAAATATTTAAGAGTGGAAATTCAGTTCATCTCTTTGTTTACAGAAACAGCTGATCGTAACTATATAAAATATTTCCAATAAACATCGATATAATTATTAACTAGAAATGAATCTATTATCAGTCAATATTCCTTAATAAATAATGCAAGGTTAGACTGGATTTAATTCGATTCACAAATATGTGGAAATATTCTCATGAGTTGATCGGCTGACGCAATATGCACCGTAGATACTGGGAAACATTTGGCATAACTACGTTGCAGAATAATAAGAATTAAAGTTGTTATACTACTGGTTAGTGGTATTAGTAAATTATTAAGTCTAGTACAAAAATTACCTCTTATCGTACTAAGAGTAATTATTTGGATGAACAAATCCACAAGGGCCGTGACGATTATTCGAACCTACGTCCGAGAGCATCCCAAGATTTCCTGGTTGCAATTCTTATACCATTTCGTAGCTCAGTCGATTAAGGCAGCGTCTGGGATGCTCTCGGACGTAGGTTCGAATCCTCGTTACGGCCCTTGTGGATTTGTTCATTTGATGCATCACGCTATTGTGATTTCTGTCTGTAATATTTGGATGTTGGAAATTTCCAACAAGAGTTACCCTTCCCACCCATCTCCTGCCCCCCAGAGTTACCCTTCCCACCCATCTCCTGCCCCCCAGAGTTACCCTTCCCACCCATCTCCTGCCCCCCAGAGTTACACTTCCCACCCATCTCCTGCCCCCCAGAGTTACCCTTCCCACCCATCTCCTGCCCCCCAGAGTTACCCTTCCCACCCATCTCCTGCCCCCCAGAGTTACACTTCCCACCCATCTCCTGCCCCCCAGAGTTACCCTTCCCACCTATCTCCTGCCCCCCCCCAGAGTTACACTTCCCCACCCATCTCCTGCCCCCCCCAGAGTTACCCCTACCCACCCATCTCCTGCCCCCCAGAGTTAGACTTCCCACCCATCTCCTGCCCCCCAGAGTTACCCCTACCCAGCCATCTCCTGCCCCCCAGAGTTACACTTCCCACCCATCTCCTGCCCCCCAGAGTTACCCCTACCCACCCATCTCCTGCCCCCCAGAGTTACACTACCCACCCATCTCCTGCCCCCCAGAGTTACCCCTACCCAGCCATCTCCTACACCCCAGAGTTACACTTCCCACTCGTCTCCTGCCCCCCAGAGTTACCCCTACCCAGCCATCTCCTGCCCCCCAGAGTTACACTTCCCACCCATCTCCTGCCCCCCAGAATTACCCCTACCCACCCATCTCCTGCCCCCCAGAGTTACACTTCCCACCCATCTCCTGCCCCCCAGAGTTACCCCTACCCACCCATCTCCTGCCCCCCAGAGTTACACTACCCACCCATCTCCTGCCCCCCAGAGTTACCCCTACCCAGCCATCTCCTGCCCCCCAGAGTTACACTTCCCACCCATCTCCTGCCCCCCAGAGTTACACTTCCCATCCATCTCCTGCTCCCCAGAGTTACACTTCCCACCCATCTCCTGCTCCCCAGAGTTAGACTTCCCACCCATCTCCTGCCCCCCAGAGTTACCCCTACCCAGCCATCTCCTACACCCCAGAGTTACACTTCCCACTCGTCTCCTGCCCCCCCAGATTTACCCCTACCCAGCCATCTCCTGCCTCCAGAGTTACACTTCCCACCCATCTCCTGCCCCCCAGAGTTACCCCCTACCCACCCATCTCCTGCCCCCCCTCCCCAGAGTTACACTTCCCCACCCATTCCTTCCCCCAGAGTTACACTACCCACCCATCTCCTGCCCCCCAGAGTTACCCCTACCCACCCATCTCCTGCCCCCCCAGAGTTACACTTCCCCACCCATCTCCTTTCGCCCCAAGAGTTACACAACCCACCTATCTCCTGCCCGAGATTTACACTAACCAAACATATTCTGACCCCAGAGTTACGTTACCCAACCATCTCCTGCCCCCAGATTTTCCCTCCCCAACCATCTTTGCCCCCCCCCCCCCCAGAGTTACTCTACCTACCCATCTAATGCCTCACAGTGTTTCACAGCCCACCCATTTCCTGCCCCCCCCCCCCCTAGAGATACACTGCCCACCCATCTCCTGTCCCCCAGAGTTACACTACCCACCCATATTGGGACATATTGCTTTCAGAATGAGCAATGAGTAATTTCAAATATCTTTTAATTCAATATTTATAAAAATGTGAGAGATTATACAACTAATGAAAGACTTGATAAACTTGATAAACAAAAAATGCGCAGTGTTTAAACACCCATATTTTAACAAATATCCCTTAAAATGTTTAAACACCAATCTTTAACAAAATTCCCCCAAAATGCAAAAACACCAATCTTTTTGTTTATGTGGAGTTTCCAACCGCCAGGACCCATACTTGGAGCTGCTGGTGTGGTCGGTGCTGAGCCAGCACCTGCAGGTGGCAGAGTACCTTTGGCGGAAGTGCTGCTCGCCAGTGTCTGCAGCCGTCGTCGCCTCCTGCCTCGCCCAGGCCCTCAGTACCTACCTCCTCACCATGGATCATGTCGCCGGCCTTGAGTACCAACGCTACAAGGCCCAGTTTGAAGACATTGCAGTTGGTGTAAGTTCCTGGCCAAGTTCTCAGAGCACGTATGCTTTCCATATATTGTTTGACCAACCTATCTGGGTGGACAGTAGAATGATGGTCTCTATGGTGTAAATCATGATTTCGTCTTATCCTTCATCACAACATAAAAATTGCAAAAATTGCATCATTGTCTTTAATAAGACAAATTATCTTACCAAACTAAAATCAGTACAATCACTAGTGTCTTCGTTCAGATTTTCTTCATAACGAATGATTATAAACAACAAAACAATTTCATTAATCATTAACATTACATATAAGCCTCATAAGGACTAAAATAAGTATTAGTCACAAGTACATTACCTAGAAACCGAAACTGTTCGCGTCTCTGGCAGTCCAGCAAGTCTTCCCAATAATCTAGAAGGAACAGCAATGCACACCCTAACCTAATAGGACATAGCTCACTAGAATATCTATACACTAACAAGAGAATCCCCCTCCCTTTCAAGCCCGTTGTCGTCGTGGAGAGGCTTGGTGGGCGGCTGCCGGAGTGTGATGCTCCATGGGATAGTCCTCTCCTTTTGAAGCCTAATGCTGTCTTTACAAATTGTGTTGGAAGTCTTTTCCTTGTTTCATTTTTCTCCCCCCTTATCTCCTTTTGAATTTTTCCGCCGAAATTTCATTTCCCGCCTACCTTTTGGCAGTCTTGATTATTCTTTCAGATATCTTTTGTTTTGATGCCTGGGTGTTTGGGGAGGCACACTCTCACCTGTAGAACTGTGGTACCCATCGTCACGAGCGTGGGGACGCTTTTATTGTCAATCCTCCTTTCGTTGCTGAGCCCTATCTCGACGGACTGATGGTTCTTAAGGTGGTGATTGTGGGGCATATGCTCATGATGCACCCCTAGGGGACCCCGGCCTGTCTCTTGTTGGATGTCCTATCCTCTAATTGTGGCTCCATGGTGGGTATGGGGGCTCATTCGTGAATGAAAGTATTACCTCCTCGTTTCTATGCCCAATGAATAATAATCCTCTTATAACTTCTCAGACTTGTGGGGTGGGCGACCAAGCCCCTCAGTCGGACTGTGTTGGAAAACTCGGCTCTGTAGCCCCCACTGCATTGGGCCCAGACCACGCTACTCCTTTGACCCTCCTGATTACCCCCCTTCCCCTGTTCCCCCCTCCCTCCTTCCTCTGTGATAGGATTGAGCCCCAACCCTCCTTGTGATCACCTCATCACCTGGAGTGGCTACTTCTGATTGTGACAACTGCACATTTTAGCCCCCACTCACTGGGGGTACTCGGCACTGACTCTCCCCACAGACGCCCTGGCATGATCCCTTCCAGTGCTACTACGTTCAACACTTTGTTTGGTCCTGCTACATGGACTAAATACTTTGATCCCACCCATATGGATTCTACTCTTCCTGACAATTTGTTCCTCCATATTTTTGTTCCCCCCTATTTTTTCCTTGTTGATTCGGTAGATGCCTCTATTACTTTTAAACCCACCCGATTTGGTACACATGTAGTTGCTGCTCCTTCTCAGGATGCAGCTACCCATTTAGCCGCATTGTCCAGCATTATAGAGACCCCTGTTAGGATCTCCAAAAATGCCCTGTTAAATTGCCAGTATTGGCACTGTTCTCCTCCTGCACCCTGTTGTGTTGCGACTGGCGATCAGGACCTGAAAGATTGCCCGAGGATATTTAACATATCCATGAAGCCCCAGACCATTCTGGGGGCTTCATGCTATACACGTTGATACGTTCACCCGACCCCCATCGTGGTCGTCGTCGTCAGCCTCTTTGAGTTGTGAAAATTACCTTTGATGGCAAGACCCTTCCACCTTCTATAATTCTTGCTGTTGCCAAATACTCCGTTCAGGAGTACAATCTCTCTCCTAGGCTTTGCAATAAGTGCTGGAAATTTGGGCACGATGCCCTCAAATGCACAAGTGTAGTGTGTGTATGCCCCATATGGGGTGACTCAGGTCACTCTAAGGCTGAGTGCTTTTCTCCCCAAGCTCGATGCCTCAATTGCGGTGACGCCCACCCTATCTTCTCCCGTAAGTGTAAACACTACCATTTTGAGGAAGCCATCCTCAGTTTGAAGCACCGCAAACGTCTGTCTTTTCCTGAGACAAGGCACCAAGTCTGCCGTGACTCCTTTTTCACTAACCTATCTTATGCTCTTGTTCTGCTTTCCACCTCTCGCCCTTTCCTCCTTTCTCAGTCTCACAACCATTTCCAGGCCCTAGAACCAGATACGCCCACCACCACCTCATCTGCTCCCTTCCAATTTGAACCAGGGGATCCTCCTGGTTCTCCATCTTGTGTTACTCTCCTTCCTTCCCATTCTGCTGTGTCTCCTGTGCCTTCTTTCCTATCTTACCACATTCCTTCTTCCCAGCCCTCCCCCCTGTCACTTGACCCTCCATGCCACCTGTCTGTCCAGGCTGTTGTCCATCATCCTCCCAATAATCTTCAAGTCGTTCGCTTCTGTTCCTCTTCTCCTGTTGAGACAATTGGGTCTGTCGCCCAGTACGTTGCTGCTGGCACACCTGTCTCTTTGAGTCAGAAATGTAAGCCTGGCTCCTCTCCTTCCTCCTCCCCGGCGGGTAAGAAGGCATCACTTTCTGCCTTGCCCCACTCCCCCCATCTCTATCATTGACTATCATTGGGGACTATCATTGCGTCCCCTCTTATTTTGGTGGTCGGGCCCCATGTTCCAGCTATGGAAATTCCTTTAACCCCCGACTCTCTCTCGGCTGCTGCCTTTGCTGAGGTGTGCTCCCTGTTTCTGCCACCCCTTCCCCTACTGTCCTTGACCGCCCCTCTCGCTTGTCTCCTCCTACTCTGGACCCAACCCGTCCATCTCTGATCAGTCTTCACACTCCCTTAACTCCATCGTTTTTACTAAGTTAACCCATTCCCCCCCTAACCCTGATTTCTCTGACCCTGATCTTGAACGTCTTTAATATGCTGTGTTTTTCTTTGACTTGGTTCCTTCATTGTTGTCGGTTGCTGTCCTCTCTCTTTTTGACAATGCCTATTCTTCAATGGAATGTTCGTGGATTTTATGCCAACTTCCATGAACTCCAACTTCTGATTACACAGTTTTCACCGCTTTGTGTATGTATCTTGGAGCCGATGCTTGGTGCGCGTCCTAGTCACTTTCGTGGTTATTCCTTTCTCACTCCCCAAGCTTTTGCTGGAGCCCAAACTCTCCAGATCTCTTGATTCGTACTGATATTCCCTTCGGCCCCCCCCCCTATTTTTCAATCGCCTATCCAATGTTCTGCAGCCCGTGTCTTTGTGAGTAAATGGTATACAGTCTGTTCTATTTATCTCCCTCCCACATGTCCCGTTTTCTCTTTCTGATCTTAAGCACCTATTGGATCCTTATCAGAGCCTGTGCTCTTGTTGGGTGGGTTCAACTGTGGGCATACCCTCTGGGGTGATGTTCTGACAAACATCTGAGGCCACCTTCTCGAATCGTTTGTCCTCTCTTCTTCCATGTCTCTTCTAAATTCTGGTGAACCCATTCATGTGGACGGGCACTCGCACCCTTTCCTGTCTTGATCTTTCTCTCAGCTCGTCGACTCTTTACTTAGATTTCATGTGGCGAGTTCTTGATGACCTCCATAACAGTGACGATTTCTCCATCCTTGTTACCTTTTTCTCCTCACCCTCCCCTATTCTTCCCTAGGTGGCAGTTTGCCAAGACTGACTGGAACCTATTCACTCTCCGTGCTACTCTCTCTCCAACCTCTTCACTCTGCCTCTCCCTTGTGCCCTCCTTCTTTTTCGTGACACCATCTTCGACGTTGCACTCAGCTCTATTCATCGCTCTACCTCCCGAGGCACGCTGAAGTGCCTCGAAAGGCACCGACGCCGGCAGACGGTTAATTCTTTTATTTTGTTTCGGAAGGCGAGTGCGGTGGCCCGTAGGACAATCCATACAGCTAAACGTGAGAATTGGAAATCTTATGTCTCCAACATTACGTCTGATACTCCTCTGCCACAAGATCTGGAAGAAAGTCTGCAAAATAGCAGGAAAGTTTGTTCCTGATGTCTCGCCAGTCCTTCACCTCCGTGATACTCTTGTGGCAGATCCAGTGACGGTCACAACTAAGCTGGGTTCCCACTTTTCGACTGTTAGCTCCAGTTCTCATCTTCCGGGATCCTTCATTCTTTGTAAGCCCATTCTAAAATATCATCCCTTAGATTTCCGCACTCATCTCCGACTTCCGTCTAACGATCCCTTTTCTCTCTCTCTGAACTTCAGTCTGCTCTGGCCCTCTGCGGTTCTAAGGCAGAGGGCTCAGATCATTATTAGATGCTTTGCCATCTCCCTTCATGCTCGTCTCAGTATTTACTGAATCTATATAGCCGGGTTTGGGAGTCATCACTCCCTGAGGACTGGCTCGATGCCGTTGTCCTCCCTATTAAAAAACTAGGGTCTCTTGGGACATCTCCTAAGGACTTCCGCCCTATTGTCCTCACGAGTTGTCTGCAAACTCTTTGAACGTATGGTCAATGTTCGTCTGATGTGGTTTTTGGAATACTATCACCACCTCTCCCCTTCTCAATTTGGTTTTCGTAAGTTTCGCAGCACAACTGATGTCATGGTGAACTTAGAGGTCTACATTCATACTGCTTTTGTTGTGAAGACCTCAGTTGTTGTTGTCCTTTTTGACTTTGAAAAGTCTTACGACACCACCTGGAGATACCATCTTCGGTCTCAATTTCGTTCTTTTGGCCTTCGTGGTATTCTCCCCCTCTTCCTCCAGAGCTTCCTCTCTCGTCGTTCCTTTAGAGTGAGGTTTGGTACCACTCTCTCTGCCTCTTTTCGGCAATACAAAGGTGTACCACAAGGTAGTGTTCTGAGCACTATTCTTTTTCTGGTTTCCCTCAATGGTCTTCCTTCTGGCATCTCCGCTCTCTGTCGGCGATCTTACCCTTTGCTGTCGAGGTGATGATTCGCTTCTCCTTCAACGGCGGCTTAATCTTGCAGTTGATGCCGTGT